TTTATTTAATAATAATTGTACCTTTATTTATGTGATCTATATTTGGCCGTATATCTTGATTTAATGTCGTGTTATCTTTCATGACTGATTTCATGAATCGTATGCATAAATATTTATACTCTTATACTTTTCTCCTATCGCAGTTGCACATCTTGACGTAAATAATAAAAATCATCATTTTACTTGCCTTGGCTCGCTTCTACAACTTTTGCGTTCTACGTATCTCGTCTAAATAAAAAAGTGAGATACTTTATTATTACTGTATTATAATTATTATTATAATCTACGTATTTATTTATATACCAAAAATAAACTATTTTTTTTGGGTCCCCAGAATTTATTTTAAATACCATTATTTTTTAGTTTTTAATATAAATATTCTCTCACGAATAGAACCATATTACCCTCTTTCAATTTTTTTTTTTCGTTTCTCTATTTCTCGTTGCGAAAAAATGCCTACAAGTTTTTTTGGTTCGGTTTTTTATGAAGTTAAGAAAGCGTATGTATAATTTATTTTTCTTTTACCTTTTTTAAATAATTTATCTTAAATAATTTATTTATTTTTCTTCCTTCCCCCATTTTTCTTGGCTTTTAATTTTTTTTTTAGTTTATCTGGTGACTTAAAATATGGTCTTTGCCAGGATTGTTGTCAAGAAAACTCTAGCAACGATTGGTGTCAATCTTGTAATGCTGAAAGATTTACCAAAAGCTTTTCAAACTGGTCCAGCGGTAATAAGCAGATTGATATGTTCATTCAAAATGCTCAAGTTAACGCTTCCGATCATTATGAAGTCATTGAATGGATCCCTCAAGATGAATTAACAAAAGTTACTTTTATCGCTAATGGAAAATATTCTTCCAATTATAAAGCTATTTGGACTAAAGGCGATATTTTAAGTTGGAATCATGATAAAAATGACTGGTTCCGTTTCCGAGGTTCAATTAATAATGATTGGACTTATTCCCAGAACTCAAATGGCTCTGGATTAACTGGCAGATTAGTTTCCTTGAAAAGCTTTCAAGATCCTTCTGATATTATCTCCGAAATTGAAAAGGTTGGTTTTACTTTTTGTATAAATATATTTTTATATTTAATTTATTTAACAATTTATTTATTAATTAATTAATTTTTTATTTTAATAATTGATTTTTTAGTTGAGGCTTTATTTGCAAGCTTTTAAAACCGTATTAAAGAATGATGATATGTTATTACCATTATTTGGTATCACTCAACATCCTAAAACTTTGGAATACATGGTTGTAACAAGTTACGCTGAGGGTGGTAGTTTGAAAAATAATTTACAATATATTCGTAAATTAAGTTGGAAAGAACGATTGGAAATTTTACGTGATATTGTTTCTGGTCTTGCTAGTCTTCACCAAGCTGATTTACTTCACAGAAATTTACATAGTGGTAATGTTTTCCTCTTTAAGTCCTTGGATGATGAACGTAATGATGATGATGAATATGATCGAAATTATTCTATGATTGGTGATCTGGGTTTACCTCAACCCGTTGGATGTTACACTTCAAATCATGAGAAATTTTATGATTTCCTCCCTTATATTGCTCCTGAAGTACTAAGGGGTAACCTTTACACAAAATCTGCTGACATTTATAGTTT